GGGGGGGGGGGGGGGGGGGGGGGGGGGGGGGGGGGGGGGGGGGCGCCGACAGAATTTACGGGGTATCCACCAACCTGATGCTTCCCCTCCAATCCTACTCCGAACAACACCAGCAAGTCAAGTGTGTTACCCATTCTCATTTCACGACCAAGCAACAGAAGGAGCGCTACTCGGGATGAACACACGAAAGTCCGAGGGCAGGCATCTGAATCAGGCAACGACAGTACGGGCCCTCTTTTCTTCAACAGAACACCAATAGAGACGTGCTCGCTCACCAGACCCACGTCCGACATAGGAAGCGAAATGTATCCCACATATCAGCGTTTCTTCGGCTCGTATTGTCTGAAATAAAACGCCAGCAACAGAACGTACGTCTTCCTCGTCTGCCTGCGGGAATGGAACCTAATAGATGTCCGGCTAGGGGCAAAACTCATGCGCAAGGCGCTCCACGACATCCTCAACGTGTCTCTCCTCCTCCAACCACGACACAACGTCTACGCCCCCGCCCCCGCCACCGTCGCCGTCGCCGTCGCCGTCGCCACCGCCGTCCCCGGCAACCGCGACGGTGCGGCGGCCATCGCCGCTGCACGCCCGGCAATAAGCCTGAAGCAACGTTCGCCTACGCTCCCCCAACTCCGACACCCACGCTCGCCCTTCTCTGCCCCTTGCCCCCCCCTCCCACTGTATTGCTGGTCTTTCTTCCGTTGCTCTGTTTCCGTCAGCAGCAACTACGGCAGGGCTGTCGACTCCAAGGCCATGGTGGCCGAGCACAGCCGCTGCTACAGAACCAGCACCCCCAGCCCCCGCCTCTCCCCTTCCCCGTCCGAGCCTTTCTCGGTGCTCGCGCAGCAGGCGCTGGAACATCTTGCGGCGCGCGAAATCCGGCCGCCACGGCGGGTCGCCTTGGTCGTCCTTGCAACACTCGGGAGGGCAGGGCGCGGCGGGCGCCGTAGCATAAGCAGCAGCAGCAGCAACAGCAGCAGCAGCAACAGGAGGAGGACGCGGGGAAGGAGGGAACAGGTAGCAGGCAAGGTGATGCACCGCGATCTCCCGCATCGTCACCGCCCACCCCCCCGCTGCTGCTGCCGACGGCGACAAGTCGTCTCGCCCCGCTTCAACAGCCAGCCCCGTTGCTGCCGCTGCCCTGGCTGACAACGCCGATCCCCGTTCTGTTTCTTCCACTCGGCCGTGCCGGCGCCGCTCCCCGACCGCTGCCGCTGCAGTAGCAGCAGCAGCAGCAGCAGCAGCAGCAGCAGCGGGCCCGAAGCGCGGGTGTTCCAGAGCCGTCAGGTAGACCTCGACAATATCACCGTCGACGTCGGGGGGGTAAAGGTAAGCCTGGTCTGTGACGCAACCGCCGCCGTTGATCGCATGGGCAGCCGGGACAGAGTCATGGGAAGGAACGGCCGCGGCGGGAGCGGGAGCGGTAGCACCGGCCGGCGGCGGATCCAGCAGGTGAAGGAGGCCGACGTCGCCCAGCTCCTTCCACACCACGCGGCGGGCGGCGACCGGGAAACCGGTCCTCACGAATACCCTCAGGACCCTGGCGAAGCTAGGGAGACCGAACGAGTCCGCTAAGAAGCTGGCCACCAGGTCCTTCACGAACTCCAGCAGCGCACGCTCCGCATGTGACTGCCTTCGGGCCGCGCGCGCTCGATCTCGCGCGCTGCTACTGCTGCTGCTGTTGCTGCTGCTGTTGCCACCGTTGTTGTTGTCCCTGCCACCGGCGGCGGCGGCGGTGGCAGCGTCGGCGATCATCTTGGCCGGGTCTGGAGCAGATGCGAGAGCCAAGCGGGCGATGACTTCCGCGAGCCGGCCTTCAAAGCCAGCCCCGCATTGCTCGAGGTACCTTCGAACAACGGGCAAGGGATGACAGTGACGGCGATGTTTCAGGAGGCGTCACGCCGATCCTCTGTTCGCCGCAACACGAAACATTGCCGTACGCATGTGCTGCCAAAAAAGGAGGCAGGTCACATATCTATTTTCTCGTGGTCCATCAAGCAGAACACAAACTGCCTTCCCTCCGCTGGTGATACGCTAGAAAGTCTAGAGGGGTTAATGGAGAAGATGTTGCTTCTGCGGAGAGAACAGAATCTAACCAAAGAAACCAAGGATAAAGAGGGTCTAGACGTGCACGGAATGTTGAAAGGAGGAATAGGTCAAGGAGTACCCACATTGATCAGGGACAGAGCTAATGTAGGGTCGTGGACATTGGCCTCCGAGAACGTGACGAAGTTTTGGGAAGGTAGGCGACGAAGACGACAAGTTCAAATGTGAATGCGGCTCCGAGTTTGAAAACCGGGTTCGTGTTGTTGCGGGATGTTCGTTGTACCACAAGGAGAGGTAAGTGTACATGGCTGAGCTGGGGAAAGTAGAAGGAAGATTAGGACACATAAACACAAACACAGAGAGACTACCCGTTCGAGCTGATACCACAGTCGAAAGGGATGTGTTGAAGTCTTTACAGTGAATGGAGGGAAACCGGCTGGGTACAGGGCTAAGTTTGAGTCAATTGAAGCCTATATACCAGTGATGCCAGCAGGTGCTAATCACAAAAATACTGTAAAGGTATAAATACCACAAGACATCTCCCCCGGAGTTTTCCTTATCTGCGAGAGATGCAGGGAGATGCTTGAGACATGGAATAGCCAGGAGAATACTGTAGCTGTATGGGATGAAAAGGCGCAAAGTGATGTCGATAGGATAGATAGGCTAGGGAAAGCATTTGACCCACCATTGGCAACATAGGAAGGAACGATTGGCCATCGGTGATCGGTTCTGTGGCTGTGGGAACAATGCTCCGGCCTCTCGAGGACGCGTGTTCAATGTTCTAACCGCTAAGGCATGCAAAACATAAGAGCACGGGTCTCCCCATCTCTTCGTTCCTGTTGCTCTAGTTTAATCCTGTCTCATTCCCCGCAACCTCCATTCCCTCACTTCGTGGGCTTTCATATAAATTACCTGCTGAACAACCAGTCGAAATTCTGAACCGCGCCAAGTCCGGACAGCACCGAGGCACCGTATAGGCACGCGTTGGCCAGATGGTACAGCTTCACCTCGGGCGGATTGCAACCGGTTCCGCCGCCGCCGCCGCCGCCGCCGCCGCCCCAGACGTAGGTGCTCTCCTCTCGCTCAAGTTCGACCAGCAGAGAGAGGCAAGCCGACACGGCCATGGATGCAGCTTTTCCCCCGCCCTGTCAGGGTGTTTTCCGTCCGTTGTCGGACAGCGGTGCGGTGCGTGCTCGTGGGTGATGGAACACGGTTGTACTTGAAATGCGGAGGGGGCCATGATACACAACACAGGGAGTCAAAGCAACCCGGACAGGTAGAGAGAGGGAGAGATACATAAACTGGTAGGAATAGAGGCCGAAACAAACGCCGGAGGAAGAATAACGACGGGGAAAAGGCGTTCGCGCTGCAAGTAGCCGGCACAGCTTGCAGCGAGGACGGATGGGTGGGTGGGGACGCGATTGCCCCGGTAGGTTGAGAGGCGGTCGAGGGGCAAACATGCCGGGGAGTGTCACAGTCACAACATAGTTGGATACTAGTCGGTACCGATTTGGTTTTGGACACGTCAAAAGGGGAGGGAAGGACCTGCACAAACCGGAACTCTCATCCACTACTCACTCCAAGAGAGTGATCTACTCCGAGTCTGCCCGTCATCATCACGCCGGCAAACGCTGCCCGCACCCCCGATCGTGCCGCCTATCGAGATGTTCCGTGGCCATCGGGTACAAAAGACTGGCCGGTCAACGGGGGCTCTGACATGCAAGCGTGAGACAACACGGGCATAGTGTTTAAAGGCGTCCGAGAACGTTCAGCAACCACAGCGAGACTCCCCGAAAGCAAACGAGAAACAAATACTCAGCAAGAGGCGCCATCTCCGGCGGGTGCGCCAAAAACACAATTACCTGGCTGACCAGAGGGAGAAAGAGCCAGTGCGGGGGCAGGGGAAGGAGGGAGGCCGTCCCCGGGGGCGCGCACGCCTTCAGGCTCTGCAGGGACGCCCACCGCCCGTCCAGGTGGAAGGAGGATTGAGACAAGGCCACCGGGTCGCTGATGGCACCACGGAAGAGCTGCAGCGTGACGGAACAAGGAGGCAAGCATCTTGCGTGTTAGAGGTGCCAAGCTACCGTTTTTTCATGTTGAGTTCTACCACTGCTGCTGCTTGCGCTGGAAAACCCCTGAGTCCGATCCGAGGCCTATGGCTGAGAGGTCGCGAAAACGCGGAACGCTTTTCCAAGAGTGGTCTTGGACACAGCCTACAACACCAAAACGAACGCCCACGACATCGGCAACGACAGCAACAAGAAAGCTCGGCATGGACACCCCGGTGAACTCGTAACCCCAGCAACAAATCGACACGACCTCATGCTCAGTCACCGTTCGCAGAAGCGACGCAGAAGCAGCAGCTGTGCCAGCGGCGGCGGCAGGATCGTCGCTAGGCCTCTCCGACCCGTTCTCCGCGGGACTGTCCACAGTACTGCCAGGCAAAGCCTCCGCCAGCAGCCCCACAGCAATGGCTTCGTCGCCGCGCTCGCAGAGCGCCATTGCCTGTGGAACGGGCGACAACACCATGAATCGAGAAAAAAAAAAAAGAGATAGAGGGATCACAAAGAGGAAACAAGAACCGAGGGCGTTGTTGCAACCCGCAGGACTGATCATTCAACGCGACACCGGCAGCAACCGCAAAAGTCCGCGATGGGAAAAACAAAGTGTCCTTGGAACTGCTGCAAAAGACCGAACGAGCACACCGCATGTTGCCCAATGCTTGGCAAAACACACGAGAAAAGTGAATGGGTGTGCCCACCATGTTCGCAACAAAAACCTTGACGACGGTAGCTCCAAGTTTTTCGTTTTCTGTACAGGGAATAAACAAATAATGAATGGCCCACGGAATCAGATCCTCGCATTGTGGAGAGTCACAAAAAACAAAACTCTGCTTGAACGGAGCGGAAACGCACAAGCAACCGAACGCAAACATAACCGGCTGTGCATCAAGCAACCGAACCCACACGCTCACGCGCACGTACCTGCAGAGCGCAGTCCCTCCTCAACGCCGCCCATGGCCATCCACCACCCCTACCTACCCCCCTACTCACAAGCGCCAGCAGCCTGCACCCGAGCCACCTCGCACCCGCCTCGGCACGCCGCACCCTTCTCAAGAAGGTTGCGGGGGGTGGCGCGACAGCGGCGGTAGGGGTGGTCAAAGCCCCGCCGGCAGCAACGGCGCCGGCGGTGGGACCGGCGGTGGCGAGGAAAGCCGCAAGGGCCGCGGCCGTTGCCTCCGGCGCGGAAGCGAGGGCCGCCGCCGCCTCCCCGGGCATCGCCCTCTCGCACGCCAGGCCGAGCCGAAACACGCCGCAGAGCCAGTCGAGCCCCGCCGTCACCGCCTCGCCGCTGCTAACCCCTCTCTGGCTGAAGCTGTCTCCGCTATCGCCGCTGCCGCCGCTGCCGCCGCCGCCGCCGCCGCCGCCGGATTGATCGCAGCCGCGAGTCACCGCTGCTGCCACCGCCGCCATAAGCGGCAGGGCGGAGGAGGCCAGGAGGGACGAAAACAGCACGGCCGCATCCTCCGCTATTGACTCGAGGTGGCCGGACGCACGCCTCCCGGCCGTGCGGGACATGGCCTGGTACCGTTCCATCCAACAGGCCACCAGGTGGACGGCGGCGGCCTGTGCGGTTCGGGAAAGGATTACAACCAGTTCGAGTTTCTTCGATTGGAACGGGGGGGGGGG